CAACAAAATAACAAGCCAGTGACAAAAAACAAAGCAAAACACAACAACAAAGAAAAGCTTGTAGTTAGTTCAAGGATTGTTTGTTGGCCTTTAGGAGTGTTTTCCAGTCGAGTTAGTTAGGGCACCAAGCCCTGGCCCCAAAGTCTATTTTGGGTATTACGTGGGACTTTGTTGCTCTGTTACCCTTGCTGTTCTGTTGCACCCCCTTAGTGTTTTGCCTCGGTGTGGTGGGATCAGACCTGGTGGAATCCCACATTGTGTCTCCAGTGTTGTCCCCTCTAGGGCTATGGGTCAGTGAGGGATGTCGTGTCTCATAGTGGGGCCGGCCCTGTGGTCTTCTCTGTGGATTGGCTGCTCTGAGCGGGAATATCGTCCTCAAGGCTTGGTCAGCCAGGATATGCTCCACTCTCTCTTCCTCCCCCGTCATTTGCTCCCGTGTGTGCTCTGATCAGACATGTCCCTCTCCCAGAGCTGCAGATTCAGTGCTGTCCTCTGAAATAAATCCTTCTGGGGGGAGGGGCAGGTGTCCTCGTAGTTGGGATTGGGGCCGGCCCCTCACAGTTGGTTCTTTTTATCTGTATGTCTAGCTTTATACTAATACCACAATCTTGCTTACACAGATTTAGAGTAAGTTTTGGAATTGGGAGATGTGAATCCTTCAACTTTATTCATTTCTATGATTGCTTTGGCTCTTCTGGGTCCCTTGCATTTCCTTGTAAATTTTAGGATTAGCTTGTCAATTTCTGCTACACAAAAAGCTGCAGGTATTTTGATAGGATGTTTTACAATTTTTCTTTGAAGTATATGACAAAAAGCAACTTAATTCTCATGTATGCTTCTGCAATCATTGTGTCAAAATACATTATTTTAGATGAACAGTGTGGAGAAGAGATCTTTATACATATAAGTTTGGAAAAGGAGAAATAACTGAATAGGTTTTTTCAGATTGTTGTGGATGTTATTCTTTGAGACTCTCCAAAACTTTCAAATGGTGATTTCTTGGTTGCCTCGAAATGAAATCACCTCAGTGAGTGATTCCTATTCTATTAAATTCCATTGGCCTGCTTTGTACTTTGAATGTACTTTTATTCATGCCTGATTTTTGTTTTCTTTTCTTTTTTTTTTTACATTTTATTAGGGGCTTATACAACTGTTATCCCAATCCATACACACATCAATTGTGTAAAGTGCATTTGTACATCATTTCTCAAAACATTGTCTCTCCATTTAAACCCCCAACATTAGGTCCTCATTTTTCCCCTCCCTCCCTGCTCCCCCCTCCCACATGAGCCCTGATTTTTGTTTTCTAACATCATGCGTTTGTCACGTGGGAAATACTGGTTCACTGTTAACTTAAATCTTCACATGTTGACTTATTTCATATACAATTTTTTTCCTTAAGTCAGATGTTAATATCACTAGCAGTCTTTAAAAAATTTTTTTCAAGAATTGAGAAGTGGTTCAATTCATCATGAATGAATATTCCGAAATTCTTGTTGAGAGCTAGAATTTTATCAGTTTTATTTGAAGTGATTCTCATTTCCAAGAAAATGTCTGCCGATACCCACATTTGGGATAATAATTGATCAGTCACTCTTTGGTGTGGAAAGTGGTGTTCCTGGGACTGAGATGTCTCTGTAGAAAGCTGTAGAAGTGCTGTTAGGTTTTGAGATGCTTTTCATTGGTTCTTGCTTCTCTCAGCATGCAAAGAATTCACAGCAACAGCAGCAGGATAGTAAGTCAAAGTAAGCTTTTATGAGTGAAAGTAAAGTTTTTGGTATATTCTCAGATAAGAACACGTCATCCCTGGAAATTGTGGAAAGACACGTGGTCATAAAGCTCTTTATCCTTCATAACCCTTCCCCTACCCCCACTGGGCTCCACCCACATCCACTTGGAGGGCATGGTTGTATGTTAGTGGATGTGCTCAAGTATGTCTATCATATAACTGGTTATTACCTCACCTGTTAAGGATTTGAGTGGTTGTGTGTGAGTGTGTCTAATGTAACTAGTTCCTATGGCCTATGTCCTTCTCATAGCCTTCTAGCGCATGCCCAGTCTCTTAGGACAGTCCCTTTGTGGGACATTACTGTGGGTGGGCCTTTTTGGACACAACCCCTTTTCCCTAAGCTTCCTGCCTAAAATTTTGAGAAGCATTGAACTGGTATGCAGAATATGCTATACTGCTGCTTGTTGTGCAAAATTGAATCCAGACTGGCTACATTCTAGACTCCATCCCCCCAAAATGTGATTACTACCCTAGTCTTAAAAGGGCCTCCTAGGAGAGGCTGAGTACCCTTATGAGAGACAAGGGTTGTGAGGCAGGAAACTTGGCATGGTGGAGAATGGAAAGACATGAAATGGCTAGAATGTAAGATAGCAATAGCAAAGTAAGTTGGGGAGGTAGTCAGGAGCTGGGTCATGCAGGCTTTTGCAGGAATATAAGGAAACCTTTCCTCCAGATTAGTAAGTAGGGAGTTATTAAAGGACTGTAGGCACTAGAACAGTATTTCCCAAAGTAGGCCATGCCACTCTCTGGGAGGCGGGGGTAGGGTGGTGGTGGTGGTGGTTTGGAATGATGAAGAGGAGGGATGCAAAAGCAGATGCCTGCTCTACTCTAGTATAAGTTTTTCATTGCCAGGGGGTGCTAAGTTGTTGGTTTTCCCCGAAAAGAGAGTGTTAGATCAAGTAAGTTTAGGAACCTATCAGTTAGACAATCTAAATGGCTGTTGACTTTGGCTCTGACTGGTGCAATTTTGGATGGATCCTTTTTTGACTAAGGACAGTGAAGCGCCTGTAGATTATTTGACTGCCAAGTGAGGCACCTGGACACACATGCTATAAGAGAAGGAAGGGAAAACCCAGCAACTTGGCAACTTTATCACAAACTGAGGAAACGGCCACCTCTCTCTGCGATTGTGTTGGTGATCAGTACAACCCTTCTAATCCCATAAGGGGTTAACAGTCTTGGAGACCCAGTGGGGCAGTTTTCTGCCTCCGTCCATTTAGGGTCACTATGTCCATACCTTTATATTGTCCATGAATGGATTATAGTTAGTTATTTGAATAAGTGAAAATTTGATGAGGATGATTCAAGGTAAAAAAGCATTATGAAATCCTCAATGATGATCCTTGGAAAGAACCTTTGTCATTCTAGTATATTATAAATTACAGTACTAAATTAAGTCTGAACAATTGACAGTTACAATCAAACTGATAGCTGCAGAATGCAAACCACTGGGTACCTTTAACACTAATTGTATACATTTGGAAATAGACACCAAGGTAGTTTAATTCTCTGTGTTGGAATTTAAAGTTCCATCTCAGTCTCAGTATTCGTTTACAACAGGAAGCACTGTTGAACTCTCCACAGGCAGTTTAAAGCAGGGGGATTTAAGGACACTGACAAACTTAACTCTAGTGTACTGCTTGCTTGGTCTGTGTCTACTGAGAATGTTCTCGTTTGGGTCTTATCCACAATATAATTGAGCACACACAAGCACTCCCCATTTCTTTCTTTTTTTGTTTGCAGAAAAGACTCTTCATCTTTCCTATAAATAGAATTTAGCGTTTCAACAGGATTTATGATCTGGCTTTTTGGGTAAGATTAACAAACGGCGGATGTTAGCTACATACATGCCTTCTTGGTAAATAATTTGTGACATGAAGCTGAAAGTATTGACTTTTATACTTACTTTAGTTTTGTGAAATGAGATGCAAGCTTGTGTGTATGTCCTATATATAAATACATCTGACTCATTTTGCAAGTTTCAAAGCCTAAATCACTTTTGATATTTAAAGAGTATGAATTATAGGTTCTGTTTATCATTCATAATTTGTATTGGTGATTGAAGGAGCCCTGCTGGCATAGTGGTTACTAGTTGGACTGTGATCTGCAAAGTCTGCAGTTCGAAACGTGAGGAGGAAGACAGGAATGTCTGCTACTGGTAAGTAATAGTCTTGGAACGTCACAGGGGCAGTCCTACCCTGCCTTGTAAGTCTGTGAATTGGCAAGGACTTGATGGCAGCAAGGTGGTTGTTTTATTTAATGCATGATTGAGTAAAGACAAAAATGACAAAAATTCAACTGTGGCTTACATCAAAATGGAGGAGGTATCAAAAGTACCCTGACAGATTACATACACAAAGATATGTATATACCAGGATTTAACACTTCGTAGCTTCTACAGATTTCCAAAGGAGTCAGACTTAACCAGAGTACATCAGAAGTAATCTGACAATCTGCTTGCAAAAGGTTGTTGACTTAAAACCCCGATAGAGCACTTCTATTCTGTACACACGAGGACACCATAAGTCCCCAGGTAACAATGAACAACACTTTAAAAAATTTATTTGAACAACACTTTTAAACCCCACCAACAGCAAATTCCTTGCGTTTGTTATTCTGACCTGGCTTGGCAGAGAATGACCGATACTTACACAGTGCAGTGTAAGGGTCGGCGCACAACTACACTGCCTGATCTTTCTGGGTCTCCCAAGTTTACTGCCTCTGGCAGTGCAGTCTTACTTACTTGTCTGTTGATAGTTTTAGTAAAAAATACTTGAACTTTCCTTCTCTAATAGGTTTCAACCTTATATACTTCCTGATTTTCTCGTGTTTAAGTGTGTGAGAGTCATGCACAAAATTTTGATAAGAATATCTTTAAGTTCTCTTGCTACCGAAAGGACTAGAAAAATTCAGTCTACAAATGTAAAGTCTCTTGTATGTTTGCTATGGAAAAATCACTTGTATGATACAGGTTGAGAGGTCTGGATTAACTTTCCAGGGAGTTGAGTTAATTAGGGTTCACCATGGGTCAGAATCAACACGACTTTGGTTGGTTTGGTTTTGCTGCTGCTGTTTTGCATGCTGGGAGTATTTTCATCGTGAACCAGCGCAGCTGAGATTCGAACCACAGATAAAGCATTGTCTGGTTTTCTGGGTCATATGTTCAGGAACTGTGCCAGCCCAGAGTCTAGGGAGTCCATGAGCACCTGAAGTTGCGTGCCTTTTTTATTTATCTGAGGAAAGAGCCCAGACTTTTCTCAGTTATCTGGAGCGCTTCCAGTCCTTTAAAAGGAGCTCTTGACTGAACATGACAGTATGACTTTTAAAGTGTAGTCCATGTTAGTCAGAAAATATTAATTAAATATTTGAATAAATTTTAAGTCTACAATCACAAAGGCAGTCATGATTTCTGCCCCACAAGGAACTTCAGTCTAGTGGGACAGTAAAGAAATACAACAGTAATAAACCAAACTCACTTCCATCTCATAGCGACAAGTCAGCAGTTCAAAATCAGCAGCAGCTCCGCAGGAGAAAGTTTGGGCTTTCTCCTTTAAATAGTTGCAGTCTCAGAAACCTACTGTAGGGTCATTTGGGGTCAGCACTGACGATGGCAGTGAGCTTGGTTTTTTGGCACAAGCCTCACAATCCTTACGCTTGAGCCCATAGTTGCAGCCACTGTGCCTTAATCCATCTCAGGCAGGGTCTTCCTCTTTTTTCGCAGACTCTCTATCAAGTATGATGTCTTTCTACAGGGACTGGTCCCTGTTGATCACGTGTACAAAAGTATGTGTAACAAGACTCAGTGACCTCACTTCCAAAGGACATTCTGGCTGCACATCTTCTGAGACAGATTTTATTCCTTCTTCTGGTAGTCCATAGTGCATTTTATGTTCTTCTCTAATGTTATAATTCAGAAGATTCCCCCTTTTATTTACTGCCTACTAAATAAGAATGTGTATGAAGTGTTTGAAACAACGTTGGCTTGGGTTAGGTGAATCTTAGCCTTCAGTGACATACATCTGTGGTGTTTTTCTACTTTGAAGTAGTCTTTTGCAAGAGATCCATTGCAGTATGCCCTTTGATTTCCTGACTGCTGCTTCCATGATCACCAATTGTGCATCCAAGTAAAATACAATCCTTAACAACTTCAATCCTTTCTTAGTCTATGATGATGTTACTTACTGATCGAATTGTGAGGAGATTAGTTTTCTTTATGTTGAAGTGTAATCTACTGAAGGCCATAGTCTGATTTTTATCAGTAATTACTTCAAGTCCTCTTTCATTTCAGCAAGCAAGAGTGTGTCTGTCATCAGTTTCACACAGGTTGTTTATGGGTCTTCCAATCCTGATAAGGTATTCATTTGATCTAGCTTCTTGAATTATTTGCTCAGCATACAGATTGAACAAGTATAGTGAAAATGTTTAACTCTGATGCACACCTTTCCTGATTCTTCTAAACCATGTAGTATCCCCTTGTTCTGTCTGAATAACTGTCTCTTGATTTATGTAGAGGTTCTGCATGAACACTGTTCTGGAATTCCTATTTTTCCAGTGTGATTTATAATATGTCATGATCCACATAATCAAACGTCTTTGAATTGTCAATGAAACACAGGTAAGCATCTTCCTACTTTCAACCAAAATCCATATAATCAGCAATGATCTTAATTCCAGTTTTCATTTCTGACAGCTTCCTCTCGATGTACTACAAAAACCACTTTCAAGTACCTTCAGTGGCATTTTATTTGCATGTGATATCAATAATATTGTTCAATAGTTTCTGCATTCTGTTGGATCACCCTTTTTTATAACAGGCTATAGATCTCTTCCAGGCTGTTGGTCAGGTAGCTCTTGGCATAGACAAATGTGCCTGTCCACCACTGCACCTATTTGTTGAAATATTTCAATTGGCATTGTGTCAATTCCTAAAGGCTTAATTTTCACCAATGCCTTTTGTGTACCATAATCTTTTCTTACTATTAGTTCTTGATCTATGCTATCTCCCAAAATAGTTGAACAGCAACCAGTTGTTTTTACTACAGTGACTGTATTCTTTTGATCTTTTTTTAAAATCTTCTTTTGATGCTTCCTGCATCGTTCAAGAGTTTGCCCATAGAATCCTAAGTCCTTATCTTTACACATTGTGTTTCAATTTTCTTTTTCTTCTCAAGCCACTCTTTGAAATCTTGTTTAAGGTCTTTACATCGTCATTTTTTCCCCTTTTGCTGTAACTATTCTATGTTCAAGAGCAAGTTTCAGGGTCCCTTTTGACATCCATTTTGATTTTTTTTTTCTTTTTATTGACCTTTTGGTTTCTGTATGATGGCCTTGAAGTCATCTCACAGCTTGCTTGGTCTTAAGTCATTGGTGTCCGATGTATCAAATCTATTCTTCAGATGGTCTCTTTAAGTTCAGATGGGATCTTCTCAAGGTTGAATTTTGGTTCTCATAGATTTGTCTCAGTTTTCTTCAGCTTCAATTTGAGCATGTATTATTATTCCACACCCAGCCCTTTGCCTTGTTCTGACTGATGATATTGAGCTTCTCCATTTCTTTTCTACGAATGTAGTCTCTTTGGTTCCTGTGTATTACACCCAGCAAGCTTCATGGGTGTAGTCAGTACTGATGGGAAAATGTACCTTAAAAATCTTGCAAAATTCTGCCATGTGATCTCTGGTGGTCTCTCCTGACATGGTAAACCCTATGGTCATCTGATGCAAAATGGCTCTTATCAGTCCAGTTCCGTTTATAAATATCTAGGATATCTATCTATACATTCCATTTCATTTTTGACAACTTCCAATTTTCCTAGATTCGTGCTTTGTATATACCATGTTTTGATTATTTATAAATGTTAGCAACTTTTCTCATTTTGAGCTGTGCCACATCAACAAATGAAGGTCCTACTCCATCCACCTGGTTAAGGCTGACCTGCTTTGAGGAGACTGCTTTTCCTCAGTCCTACTTGGAGTGCCTTCCAAACAGAACAGCTCCTCTTCTGGCTGGCTGTCAAGCAATATTCTGCTATACATAAGGTTTTCAGTGACTGGCTTTTTAGAAGTGGCCTACCTCTCTGTTCTTCCTAATCTGTCTTAGTCTGGAAGGTCTGTGGAAACTTGTCTACCGTAGGTGACCCTGTTGTTACTTGAAATACTGGTGGCATAGTTTCCAGTATCGTAAGAATATGCAAGGAACCACAGTATGACAAGTTGATGTGATGGGGTCTATGGGGGTCGGTACTATTACCGTGCCTATTTTGCAGGAAGGGGTATTGAGTCATCAAAAGGTTAAATGATTTTTCTAAGGCCATGATTTGAACTCTGGTAGTGGCACTAAAGCCCTTACTCTTTAATATTCTAATTAATGTTCAAATGCAGTTATGTTCATTGAGAGAAATAATCAAAAGGAGAACTAATTTTTGGTTTGGATGATGAGAGAATTTCCTGCAAGTGCAATTAATAAAGCCAATGAGACAAGAATAGAGGCAAGTAAAGGAAGACAGTATTGGAAGCGAAGGGAATATAGTATATGCAAAGCTCTTAAGGGCTAAGAAAGAGCTGGGCACAGAGAGTAAAAAGTGTGACAGCAGGAACTAGTGAATGAGGACAAATAGCATTAAGATGTGCGCTTGTTGTCTTTGGACTTACTGTATTATCAAATGCAGTCTTACAGGCCATGTTAAAAGTTTTAGACAGAAAATCACTGAAGGATTTTTAAGTAAATTCCTCTTGGTTACATTACCCTTGATCACGCCCTACCAGGCCTCCTACACCGTCCTCACCACCTGTTTGGATCACTTGTTGTTCCCTTGTCCCTGGGTTTGTTAACACCACTTCCTTTCCCTGCACATCCCCCTTTCCCATGTCCCCCCCCAACTGTCGGTCCCGTTGTTTTCTCCTCCAGATTGTTCATCCAGCCTATTTTATTTAGACAGACCTACGGAGATAATAGCATGCACAAAAACGAGATAGAGCAAAACCAAACAACAATATACAACAAAACAACAACAACAAACCAATGACAAAAAAACAAACAAAACACAAGAAAGAAGTCTGGTTTTTTTCCCCTCAGAGATTAATATTGCCACTCCTTTTTTGTTGCTGTTGCCATTACCTTGATAAATTGTTTTCCATTCTTTGGTTTGTCCAGGGTGTATTT